TGTTAGAAATTAGAAAAACCATAATAGGAAAAAAAATTATATCTTTAAAGCATTGACAACTTTTTTGGTGTTAGAAAAACCATATTATGGAAAAGGAGTTTTGTCCATTTTTCCTGTATCTGCATCCATGACAGTACCCTTATCTGGGCATCATAGTCAGGCATAGACACCAATGAATGCTAATAGAGGCATATGCTCATAGAAAAATCACAGTAGTTAAAGAGGTGGTTAACTTACCTTACGCCAAGCACAAGGTGCATATGAACAGGGAAGCTTATTGTTCTTGCATTTCTTATGGAACACATTTTAGCAGCCGACCATCATGTACACTCTTCCAGCATAAAAGCCCTAATATTTGGTAGAACAGGGCTTTTCAAGTTCAGCTTGAAAGAAAATTCTGGGGGCATAAGCATGGACATCAATAATCTAGAAGAAAGGAGCAAGAAAATAATATTTGAAAATAGTTAGAAGATTTCCTTACCTCAGAAATTTCAGAAAATGCAATTAAAAAAAGTGCAAGTCACATAATCTGCCTGTTTTGAGTTGCATATTTATGCATGGTATGTAAGCATTCTATGTAAATGAGCATAGCTGGTTTACAATACTCTCTCTCTCTCTCACAGAAAGGAAATGATTATTTTCTCCTTTGTTTTGGTTTAGCTCATGGCTCTTCTGCATGGGCATTCTTACAGTGCACATGCAATGGGCTGCACAGCTGCTACGAAAGCCATAAGATGGTTTAAAGATCCCCAGACAAACTCAAATATCATTGCAAGAGGAAGGCGGCTTAGAGAGGTATGAATTATGCAGAAACTTTTGTTTCATATGTTGTTTTCATGTTGCTGGATGCTCTCCCAACACTAAACAATCAAGGCAAGAGGGCTTATATGTGAAGTTTGTCTTAGTCCCATCTCCTATGATTTATATTGTTTCAACAGAAGGAAAAAAATCTATCCAGAGTCGGACTACAAAGTCCGTTTTTTATTTCAAATAGAAGAATGAGGATTTAACTGTTGTTGACCATTAATTGCATTTTTGTTCACTAAAAATTATTTCTAGTTTGTTAACCATCATAAATTGAAGTTGCATTTTCATATATAATTCTACATTATATCTGGTTATGATGATACTATATCTTTTAAAGTTTTAATACTACAACCAGAGACATTTTCCTTCTATATTTCTTTATTGTAGAAACTATTAAATTTCTAATTCTTTATTATCATGCGTAAATTTTTTCTAATTTTCGAAGGAAAAATGTCAATCTGCTTTCAGTGGCATGAACAATTTGTTTCAACTTATTTTTTTGATGAATGAATTTGTTTCAACTTATTCTCATCAAACATTATCTATCAGGCTTAGAGTCATTGCTCATGAGCTTCCTCTATCTGTTTATGATGTATACTTGCAGTTATGGGATGCGAAGCTTGTACACCAGATATCATTACATCCAGCAGTGCAGAGGGTGGTGACATTAGGAACACTTTTTGCTCTAGAATTATGTGCAGAAGGCCATGATGCTGGGTACTATCTCATTAGCTTCTATTCCTTTCTGAGTTCAATTGTTGACACTCAGCGGTACACCCTGGTTGGCCCTGGGTTGAGCATTTGTTAAATCTTTAAGGGAAATTCTTCAAATTGGTTACCTAATTTACACCCCTATAACCACTGTCTTGAGTAAACATTTAATACATCCTCCTTGGTATGCAATTTTCCCCATTTACGGCTGCAAATGGTATCAGATTTTCCAGAATCAAATTTGTATTCAATCCATTTAAATCCCTATATAATTGTATTTGTTTCAGTTTAAATATTTATGCTTGTATATTCTTAAAATTTATATCCATTAGTGAAATTGGTTTGAATGTTGTGTTTATACTAAACTGTGATAGGTGATAGGTTCAAGTTTCACTATTCGCACAAGTAATTTTCATTCCATTTTGTTCATGAAATACAATATTAAAGCCATTTTTAGTTCATTTTATTAATAATTTATAATATTTTGATCATTTTCTAATTTAATCTATTTATACTATCAATAGGTGATTGCAATTTGAATTCAATTATAAACAAATCAAATTTGGATTTAGATCTACCTTATATCTGATTCTATTTGATCTTGTTAGCAGACCTTTTATCACTATATTCTGGCTCTTTGATGGACCATAAAATGTTATTCTTTTGAGTTTTTAATGACAGATGTTAGTTGACTTCAAAAATGTTTAACTATCACCACTTATTTTCATAGATGACCTAGTACTTGAGAACGGTACATATCGATGTTAGCTGGTTGGTATTTCTTGCAAACAAATCCATTTTCCTATTATATTCTTGTATCTTCGTTATCATCATCATAGAAGCCTTATTTTACTGGCTATGAGCTAGAAAATTGGGTTTAATTGTTTCTTCCAACAGAATTTTTCTGACTTTCATGGTGTATTACTTGTCCATAAATCTTAATTTCTGGATTTTATGCAGGTATGGATCATTGTATGCGAGCTCTCTTGTTCGGATGCTTCGTGAAGATGGTGTTTATTTGAGGCCTCTTGGTAATGTTATTTATCTAATGTGTGGTCCATGCACATCTCCTCAAATCTGTAGTCAGCTAATCAGCAAACTTCACAGGAGACTCAATGAATTCAGCCAAGCTAATGCATAAATATCGGTCTTGTAAGTTAGATACTGCGATAATGCTATTCAATGGCTATAAGCCTGTAACATGCAACTACAAACGTTCTGTCATGTACTTTTGATTCTATGGCACCTATTATTTATTTACCATAATTGATAATATATTCATGACAAAAAATGCAAGTCTTCAAGATATGACAGGCAGTCGGCTGGTCTATCCTGATCCGGCTCTTGGGCGCACCGTGCACCTGCATTGTGTTCAGGTTTAGGAGCAAATTTTATAGTGGTTCCTGGTAAACTATTTTTAAAGTGGGTCAAGCCAGGGATAATATTGAGGCCCATCTTGTCTGATATGTATCATATCGGTGTAGGTGATTCACCGATTTTTTACTTTAAGCTTGTATCGATATTTAGAACCTTGTTTGTCTGGAATTTGGACCTTGAGGCCCATTTATAATTGGTGTTTACAGCTGTCTTCAAGCTTATGGGGGTGGATTCGAGCTAAGCCGAGTTGAATAGCTAGTTATTTGCGCTCGAGTCAAAAGCTCATAAACTTGAGCTCGGCTTGGCTCGAGCTCATCTACAAGTTAAATGCTTTATAAAAGTAAAAAGTTATATATATAAATGTATTTTTATTTGACATTTACAAATTAATAATTATAATAATTAGTTATTATTATATATAAAAATAAAAATGCTATATGTATGTATGTTTGTATGTACGTATATATATATATATACAAGGTTTAAAATATCGATATGCTCGATACGCCAGTATGGGTGTATCGGGCGAATCGATACAGCTTTTGATGCCTTTTTTTTATTTTTTTTTGCAACTGGTTCAATGGGGCCGATTTAGGGCTCCACCCCCTGAACTGGCAAACCCTTAATACACCCACTATAGGGGCGTATCGAAGAGATCCTGAAACGATACGTATTGGCCAATACGAGCCAATACGTGTCGATACTTTGAACTTTGTATATATATGTAAAAACTTGATTAGGCACCTGAGCTTCACAAACCAAGTTATATTAGGCTCGATTAGCAAACGAACTCGTTGTCACCCCTATTTATAACTTTGGCGGCTGCTTGTATGGAATTTGGATCTAGGGACTCAACCTTGAAAATAACACCTAGGCCTGTTGAAGGGGTGCTTAGATATTTTATTCTGTTTTTCTTCAAGGCTTTAGTCGTTTTTTTTTTAATAAACATAGGATTTAATTAAAAGCAGACAAAGTCACCAGAGTCCAACCAGCTGGGTAAGTTCTCCCGGTACCAAAAAATTCCCGAATGTTAAGCCTCTTGGGTCAGCCTTTGAGTATAAGTTAGAGTTCTATTTTTAAAGCTAATATTTACATACAAAAAATTTAAAGAGTTTCTTTATGGTCTCCAGGTAATAAGATAAGAGTTATCAAATTTAAAGAGTTTTTGCATCAGTTTCAACAAAAAGGTTGGAACAATCGATTGACTTCACAAAAAATAAATTTTCTTGCACCGCCATGCATTCAGCTCAAGGTTTAAAGTATCGGAAATGCTATGCGTATCGGAAAGGCAAATTTAAGAGGCGTATCGGGATATGCCTTGGATATGTATGGATATGGACGAAAAATTAAGATATGCATGGAAACACATAAAAATGCTATAAATACTCTAATAAATCATAAATAAACATCAATATCACTAAATATAAGACATAAATAAGCTATTTATGCATAAAAATAACACATTTTAGTGGGTTTTATGAAAAAACATATTATAATCAATAAACAGGAAGTTGGGAATAGAAACATACTATCTAATTATGGACATAATAGATCAAGTAATTATTTTGCATATTTTATTCTAATTTTCTAAAAACTAAATAATTATTTTGCATATTTTATTCTAATTTTCTAAAAACTAAATAATTATTTATTTTTATTCAAATAATTATTTTGTATGTTTTATTTTAAAAATTAAATTAAAATTAAGAAAAGTAAATATGTAACAAAAAATTGAATGGATTTATGGACATAATAGATGAAATAATTATTATGCATATTTTATTCTAAAAATTAAAAAAAAATAAATATCAATGTTTTAAAACACAAAGGCATTCCACTACCTAGAGGCGTGAAAGATACGACCTTAATACGATGAATAGATACGGCATATTCAATTTGATACCATGTACCGTACCGAAAACTTGCTGGAACGATACGTATCGGTTGATACAAGCCGATATGTGACGAAATTTTAAACCTTGATTCAGCTTTGCTGCGAACAACATTAAGCTTGTTACCAATAGCACAAAAAAAAATTACGGTTGTTATCTAGAACTATCAGGCCAAAGCACCATCACAATTTATAATGGTTTTAAAGTCATTGTTTTGATCTTGCCTAAGGCCAGTTATAATGGTTTTAAAGTACCAAGCAAATGCACACCAGGATAACACTTGATTTAGGAGGATTTTGTTATTAAATTTTTGACCAAGGAAAGAGAGCCTCCTAGAAAGTTGATAGACCTTGAGGGAAAATTAGGGACCAAGGACTGGCAAATAAAACAGCTTGAGCAAGGGGACACCAAAGTAATAAGTGCAGAGGAGTTTCGTCCTCATGTTACGATACTGGGCAAATGGCATTGTCCAAAATTCTTCTGTTCACAAGGTCAGATTTGCAAAGGACAAAGCCTTCGATGGTCTCCATATGAACAACTTGATTTTCGGAGGATATTTGAGTTTCCAAGAAAGTTTTATCCATTTGACACTGTTTTCTTGAGAGGCCCGTATCCATGTTTTCCCAAAGGGAATTATAGATTTGCTTGGAAGAGAATTCCCCATTTTTGGATCCTGTGTAGATGAATTTATCTTTTTGGTCTGAAGGAATTGGAATACTGAGGACCTGATCTTCCAACTCTGATAGAATGGCTTGAATCATCCTTTGTTCCACCCTAGGGGGTCATGATGGATTAGATCTTTAATCCTTGATGTAGGCACTTTAGGCAGGCCTCTGGCGCGTTGACATGTGGCTAAGGGCAGAGCCAATCAGCGTGTTAGGCAGGGCGGAGGTCAGCGCCCAGCGTGGGACCAATGGCGCGACCACATGCGGCGGGCTCAGACCGCATCCTGACCGCATCCTGACCATCCACATCTGTCTGCCTTCAAGCGATCTCAAGTATAAATAGGGCATGACTCCCCCAAGGTAAGGGATCTAAGACTGAGTCGAGACTCTCATTTCTCCAAACTCTCTTTCTCTCTAGCTTTCTAGGGACCTCGTCCGCCCTATTTTCTACGCCCTGACTAACTTGACCGTCGGAGTCCCCACCTCGGGTTATCACCCGAGGCCTCTGACATTCCCTTCCTCGCAGGTACTCGGCCTCATCCGACCTCGGCTGACATTGGGCAAACATCACCAATCCTCAGCTACAATGCACTTTGAGCTCCTCTAGCCCTCAGCCTCAGTGCCCCTTGAATCCATCTACCAGCCAGCCTATCCAGGAAGCAAAACAAATTAACTGTATTGTGGGAACGACTGCTAAGCCTTCCTCCCAGCACTACAACTCAGCTTCCAGCGAAATGGCTAGAAACAAGAGAACTAAACAGAACTTGGTCACCAGGGACCAACTCCAGACAGTCCTCGACTGGCTTGACAACCTCACGTAGAGGTTGAACGAGGTGGGGCGACCAGTAGGAGGTTGCCCGCAAGGTGGCCACCCTGTTGGAAACCTAGGGCATCGCAATAGACACCCTTCGTGGGCTACACCAGCAAAGCGCCTTGTCAGACCTTACCAGGCCAACCCCTTGACGTCTGGCGGAAGTGGCCGAAGTGTGAGTCAGCCGCTGAGAACCCTCCAACCTCTCGTCTGAAAGGAGAATGAATTGATACGGTCTTGCGACCAACGCCGAAGCCAAGGACACCGTCGCCAACAAGAAACGCCACCTCCACCTCGCACCTCGGACCTTTGAGACTACCTCGATGATCGACGGGCCAAAAGGGACCGAGATGCAACTGGCCCGTCTCACTGCTAAGGATACTAGGACGAAGCCAAGGTACCCGTCGGCCAGCAGATCGTCGACCTATAGGCACAGCTCGGCGCGATGAAGGATGAAATTCGACAAGTCAAGGAGAGCCGAGGTGACACCTTGGCAAATTAGTATCCCTCCACCAGGATGGATGCCTTCACCGCCACCATCACCTTGGAACCTCTTCTGCATCATTTCAAAGCTCCCATACTGGAGACTTACGATGGTACCTCGGATCCAGACGAACACCTGGAGAGATTCTAGCACTCAAGCTCCTGTACAGGTATTCTAACGCATTGATGTGCCGAGCTTTCCAGGCGACCTTCAAGGGGGCAGCTCGGCGCTGGTTCCCTGGGCTCCTGTCTTGCTCCATCAGCTTTTGGGACTAGTTTGCCAACCCTTTCCTTGCTCACTTCATCAGCGGCCAACGATGTCATAAGGCCATCATCGCATTCATGGCCATTCGACAACGACACGACGAGAGCCTACGGTCCTACATCGACCACTTCAAGAAAGAAGAACTCGAGGTTCGCGACCTCAACCCCATGGTCTCCATGCATGCAGCAACCCAAGGCCTCCTCCTCGGGTCGACCCTTAAGTGCTTTGTTGCCAAGATACCACCTAGAACAAAGGCGGAATTTTTGAAAAAGGAACAGAAGTACATCGCTGTCGAGGAAGCCTCGGCCGACAAGTACAGAGGTGGAGAGGCCGACCACGACCATGGTGACCACCAACATGAAGACAGTCGCGGCGGTGACAACAACAGGAAGTTGCCGGCCTCATCCTACGACCAGTACATGCCGCTCAACTCTACCTGAGCACACATCCTCATGCAAGTATGAGGGGAGGAGTATATAAAGTGGCCTCGAAAGAGAAAGAGGAGCCCCAAGAGGGATGACCCAACAAAATACTACACGTTTCACTGCGCGTCAGCCACGACATCAAAGACTGTTACGATCTCCAGGACGAGATTGAGTCCCTCATCCGCCGTGGATATCTGAAGCAGTACATTGACACCGACCTCATCACCTCAGCCCAGCAGCAACAGTTGTAATCAGTCACTCATCAGCAACACCTTGGCCTCGGGCGTGACCGCAGGCCGGACCATGTAACCACAAGAACTCGGCCTCGGCCGACCATGTAAACATTTTGTAATAAAGCAAGTTTCTCTTACCTCACCTCAAACCCTCAGCATATACGTTCTCGTCTCGACCGAGCGACCTTCCGTAGCATACAACCTTTGCCAAGGTTACACGCTCGGACTGGACCTCGATCCAAGGCACACGACCCTGGGAGGTCATATGCCAAGTTGCCAGGTCCCTCACCTCAGTCAATTGGCTGGTCGCGGCATACAACCTTCACCAAGGTTACACGCCCGGACCGAACGTCAACCCAAGGCATACGACCCTCCGGAGGCCACACGCCCTCAAACAATCGACTGGCTGTGGCATACAACCTTCACTAAGGTTACACGCTTGAACCGGATGTTGGCGCAAGGCATATGGCCCGCTAGAGGTCACACACCTGCTCACCCCTTTTGACAGGGAGTCTAACAGACCTTGGTCGCAGCTGACGGGCTGGCCCTTGGTTTTGGCCTCGGCCTCAGAGAGACCCTCTAAGCGAGCAATTCCTCATCCAGGCTCGAGAGCTGGCATCGGCCCTCCACTTGACACAATTTATGGTAGAACAAACATGCTGAAGGGAATGCCACCTCACTAAGACCAGGGTGGTATGCGGTGCTGGCCGAGCTCCACGCAGCCTCAGCCGCGCATGGATTCACGCGCCTTGTCCCCCATGGGAAGGGCAGCCAGGAGAGCTATGGTGTGCACCTTCCCTTCCTTCTCGCTAAGGAAAAGGGCCTCGTGTTTTCGGCGACGAAGCTCGACCTCGACCTTACCCACCTGGGTGCCTGAGCAGATGGGTTATTGAATAATGGAATCTGGAACTTGCAACCTCTTAGAAGGGGGCACTGACCCCTACACAGAAAAAAACGCAACTGCGAAGGCACAAGACTCCTCCCTGGCAAACAGACCCTCAGACAGTATTGTGCTATCCTTCTTCAAAGGGGAGGGCAATAGGGGCAAAGTAATTTCCATTAGACTCAATCCAAGGAAAATCCCAAACTTGCGTGAGAAGATTTTGAAGGTCTGAGAACAATTTTTTGTAAAATATTTTACAAGACTCTACTATAGTTTTCCGGACTCTAGAAGTTGAGAGAGGGGCTTTCCTTGTGAAGGACTACTTCCCTTTAAGGTATTTGCCTGCTATGACTTTGACCCCGAAAGCATATGGCTTTGTGACAAATCTCTAGTTCATTTTTGTAATGAGGGCCTTATTCCTGAATGTTAGACTGCCTAGTCCTGGACCACCTTTATCTTTTGGAGCATACAATTTGTTCGTGGATGCCACTTTAAGTGTTTATCATTTTCATATGTATTTGGTAAACCTTCTATTTATTAATTAAACGTTTGTACTTGATTTGTCTTCAAAACCGAGAAAAGTAATAATGTCAATCGTTTATGACAAGTAGGCATGCACATAAATGAATCTTCCCTCAACGGTAGGTGTGCACATAAATCAAATCCATAGGATTTACTTCTTCTCCTTTTTCCAAAAGAGAGGGATTCCTAGATATTTGCTATATGGACTTAGGAGGGAGAATTTTAGTTGTCTTCTAATCATCCTAGCACGTTTAGTTGGTGTGTTGCAGCTGAAAAAGATACCAGATTTTTGGAAGTTAACCTAAAGTCTTGACATTTCTTGGAAGTGTTCTAGGAGGTCCTTAAAGTCAGTAACCTCTTCTCTATTTGCTTTCCCGAGGAGGACATCATCAGCAAACAATAGGTGAGAAATTGGAGGAGAGTCTTTTCCTAGCTTGATTCCTTTAACTTTACATTCCATATTCGTTTGTGTTACAATTTCATTTGTATTGGAATTAGGGGTGATCATGGGATGGGTTAGGTCAGGCTTATAGGCTTTCTGGGCCTAATGACTTTCGGCCCATTATATCTAATGATAAAAATTTAATTATTTGGATTTTTTAAATTAAATAAAATAATATATAATACATGAAAAAAATATTACTTAAACCCAAGCCAGGTTGGATTTGGTTAGGTTTTGGAACTATAACACAAAAAATAAGGCATAAGTTTCATTTAATTCCTAGCTTGGTTTGGCTTGGCTTATTTATCCTTTTATGGTTAAAGTTAAAGGCCTTCATTGAGCTTTCTCAAGTATGGCAATGGTCTTTATTCTCATGTATTGGCACGTGTTGACTGTATTAACACATTTATATGTATAAAGTTTTATATTTTATATAAAATAATAAATGCTTAATATAATATAAAATATAGTTGCATATATATTATATACAAAATATATAATATATAAGATATGAAGTGTATGTAATTTATTAAATATAATACATAATATACTACTATAACATAGAAATATTATGTATATTATATATTAATATTTAAAAAATATATTATATTATATTGCAGGCTCGACTTAAAATGTTTGACCTAAGCTTGGGCTGGAATTTTTTGGGCATAATGCAGGCACTGGTCACCTACTGCCTGCACACAAAAAACTCGGGCCCAGGTCGGGTTTTCAGGTCAAACCAAGAATGATAACTCCTAATTGAAGCAAATGTATGGGAATGTGTATGCATTGAGACTTGGTAATGTTGGTATACTCTTGTTTCACTGTGTACCAAGGCTCAATTTATTGGAAACGCAAAGAGCATTTAAAAAGCAATTTTAAGATATTAGTGGGATGGGGAATGTGAATAGCAAAGTAATTAAAATATGTATTTTAGTGGTTTATGGGGAATGTAAAATACCACGATATGCTTAGGAAACATCGGAAAATAGTAAAGTAATTAAAATATGTATTCACGGCTTAACAAATTAATCTAAATAAAATACAAAAACCTCCTCTGAAGTTTCTAATAATCATAAAAACCTTTCCTATGGTTTTACTTTAGCAAAAACCTTCTTTCTATTTTAAAAAAATCAACAACAACCTCCCTTCCGTCAATGATCAAGAAAGAAAACGTTAAACCTATGATAATTTTTTTTCAAAATGCCTATTTTACCCCATTAGGAGTTATTGTACACCTATTTTGACTAAAATACCCTTTGCCCCCCCTTATTATTGTAGTTTCATCTTTGTGCAATCTGAAGATGAGCATGGGTGAAGAACGAACGATGAAGAATTATTAGAATATTTAACTTCCCAGAATATTCTGTACATCTTCTGGCGATGATTCTTCACCGGATGATGATCGTGCTTCATCCTGTTGGTTGATGATTCTTCATCGGACGACGACTGTCCTTCATCCTGTTGGTCGATTTCTTCAGTGGAGCGATTGACGGCATTCGGTTTCGATTTTTTGATGGCTAGGCAGAATGTATCTGGGAAGATGCATACCAGTGCTGCAGAGATGTGGAGAAAAATGAAGCCCGCGACCTACGGAAATGGTGCAAATGTTGGTAATACCAATACCAACCTTTTCCCATTACTTTTGAGTTTTGGGGAAGGAATCGGCATGAACTTGGGACCTGATTTGGAAGAAGGAACAATTTCATACTGTGTCTACTTCTTGCATCGAAAGAGCTTTTAACGATTCATTGACTTGGCCCAAACCATCCAAACACTTCACTGCAACTTTTGTGCCATTTCCGGGAGTCCCTTCAAAAACCGATCCAAATCCTCCTTCTCCAAGCTTCTTACAAAAATCCTCTTTTGCATCTTTGAGATCTTGATAAGAGAATCTCCTGGGCATTCCTAGTACTTGATGTAAATCATCCTCCTCATATTTCTCCTCATCATTTTTCTTCCTATAAAGAGTAATTAAGATGCAAACTACAATAAAAACAAAAAACAGAGCTGCAAGACTGGACCCTAATATTATTGCAGTTTGGCTTGTTTTCTTTTCAAGAAGAAGGGATGGGGTAGGAGAAACATCTGGTATCTGCACCTTAATGAATGCAGACGTATTATACTTACATTTGTTCTTATCATTGTTCACCAATGAAAAAGGTTTGGTTGGCAAAAAGCAACTACCTGCGGAAGCATTGGTATGGTACAGAAACAAAGCAGCCTTACAAGAATAGTTATTCAAGCATGCCTGCCTACAATTCTCCAAACTCGTTTCAGTTGTGTTTGCATCCCCGGCGAAAAAGGTGAAGTAAGTTACATCTTTTAAGTCTTGAAATTGTGATTTTCAGAAGCTTCATAAGAAAATGGAGTAATTTCGAAGCAGCCGAGATCCGACTGCCAATCACTTAGTTGCCTAAAATAGCTATCGTTGTTACCAGTTCCTCCAGGACAACTACACTGCTCAGTTGAGCCAATACCATAATTCCTACAAACAGTTGGGTAGCTGCACTCTCCATCAGATAAATCTTTTGTCAGAAGATCGCCCACTTCCGTCCACCCTGAGGTCGAGTTCCACTCGTAAACTCTCAGATGCCCATCTGACCCGAATTTAATGTACTGCATCGAGGTTGCTGGTTTCACAGGAATTGTATCATCAAGTTGGCGTGGCTCGGCGAACAATATGTAGAGAGAAAGATTTCCATTCAGGAATCTAACATAGCTCGGTCCTGCATTTAGAGCAAGAGCAAACAAACCATTACTAGGACACCTGTAGACCAGTTCAAAGAGCAAACAAACCATTACTAGGACACCTGTAGACTAGTTCGAAGAGCAAACAAACCAGACGGCTCCATTGCTAGTAACGAAAAGTGATAGGACACCCGTAGACCAGTTCGAAGATGAGATGCTGGCTGTGAGCCTCTACCCTTCTACTACTAGACGGCTCCATTGTTTCCGTCGAAGAGCACGAGATTTCCTGTATCCTTCATGTTTAAGCCCATGACAGAGTTGCCGGTGGATGGTTTCCATCATTGTTCCCGTCAGTTTTTGAAGGGTAAAATAGGCTTTTTGAAAAAAATTATCATGGGTTTAACGTTTTCTGTCTTATCATTGACGGAAGGGAGGTTTTTGTTGATTTTTTTGAAAATAAAAGGGAGGTTTTTGCTAAAGTAAAACTATAGGAGAAGTTTTTATGATTGCTAGAAGCTTCAAGGGAGATTTTTATGATTGTCAAAAACTTCAGGGGAGGTTTTTGTATTTTACCCTATTATTAATAAGAGAGTAACTAATTTTAATAATCAATTATCACAGAAGTTATAAACTTCAAAGACTTTTTTTGGTAAACTGTAAAAGCCTAGGTAAAATGGGTAGTGGAGATAGGGAGTTTAGATCTTCTGACCACAACACATTGCTGGTCACATTCATCTAGCTACACATTGGGAACATCTCTCATATCATTTATAGTGGATATTCTTGTTATGAGGCTGGATGAATGTGGCCAACAATGTGTTGTGGTCAGCAGATCTGGATTGGAGATATGTAGTCAGTAGTGGTAAAAATCTCTTATTTCTAATGAATTAACAACTAGTTGAGGGATGGCTCAGTTGGTATGTTAGCTGATTCACTCCAGCATATTCGATTCACACAACTACTGAATTTGGGGAGGGGTTATCACCAAATGCCTAAAAAAATGAATTAACAAAGTTTCACAACTTGGCAGATGAAAATACTTAAGTATTTTTTTTTTTTTTGGGGGGGGGTGTGTAAAGTTAAACAATAAAAACAAATAAGAGTAGACAATTTTTTTATATTCTATTTTTTTTAAATAATTAATAAAAATTTATGTTTTATATTCTATTTCTAATATTTTTTACAATATGAAAATAACAATAATTAATTTCAGCTAAATTAACAGTCTAGTCTCTAACAAATAACAATAGCTTAATATTCAATAATTGTTCAAAAATTATAGTGAAAATACATAATTACTGAAAATAAATTTATAACAAAAATACAGTAAATAAATATTAAAAATATATTAAATTAATCAATAAATAGTGTAATCTCCAATAATAGCTTATTTCTAACAAATATTAATCAATAAATTATAATGAAAATAAATTTATAAAAAAATACAATAAATTCAATAAGTAAAATAAATTAAATTTCAAAAGTTAAACAATAATAGTTTAATCTCCAATAATTATCAAAAATAAATTTATCATACAAATATAACAAATAATTACTAAAAGTACAATAAATATTAAATTTAGTATACATAAATATATAATAGATATAGACAAAGATTTTAAAATTATTAATAATAAATATTAGTTTTTTGAAAATTATTTTTGGAATTATTAATTATTAAAAGTGAAATAATGTTTTTATTATTAGCATAATAATATTTGTAATTATTATTCAATTTTTAATATCTATTAAAAATATTTTTTTTGAAAGTTATTACATATTTTTGTTATTTGGAAGCTTCAATACCTCCAAATTATTTAATCTATTTTTCATTATCTTAATAATATTTAAAAGTTTTTATATTATTTATATTTTATATTCTTATTATTAAATATTATAATTAATTTTTTTGTATTTAATAAATATTTTAAATTCATTAAATGACAAACCAGTAACTTAGGGGGCTCTAACTCAACCGTAATTTTAGAAGAGATTTTGTGCCCCAATGGCCCAACTATATCAAAAGAAAGGCCCAAAGGCAAACTAGTAACTCCGGGAGCTCCGGCTAGATAGTAATTCCAAAAGAATATTCTGTGTCTCAATGATCATACTTACCATCAAAAGAAAAGTTCAATGCTATAACATAGAAATGCTTTGTTTCTCAAAAGCTCAATGATATTGCAAAAGGTCTTGCACCTCACAACACAGTAATTATACATATAGCAAAGGCTTGGCCTCCTCGGGCACTTTTTAAAGCCCTGGTCTCCCCAGATCATGTCAAAGCCCTAGCCTCCCTAGGAACTTATCAAAACCCTAGTCGCCATGGGCAATCCAAGAAAAAACCTGGTCTCCCCAGGCATCAATAGAATAATACTTCATACATCCAAACCCATATATAATATATTTACATGCTATACTCACATAAGTTCACTCAACTCATATGGTATACGCACATGACATATTGACATACTATGCCTAACATTTATACTCATCACTTATAGCCATGTATTCATACTTAGATATTACATAGCCCATGATCACAACTTAAGTTGTGGGGGGTACTCTTTCACAAATTTCTTCAAAATTTTGGAGGCTAATCTTTCAGAAAATTCCTCAGACATTTAGGGGCAAATCTTTCACAAATTTCTTTAGAATTTCGGGAGCTAATGATTCTAAAATTCCTCAAACATCAGGGGGCTAATCTTTCACACATTTTGTCAGAAATTTGAGGGTTCATCTTTCAAAAAATTCTTCAGAAATTTGGGGGGTAATCTTTCACAAATTTCTTCAGAATTTTAGTGGCTAATTTTTCAGAAAATTCCTTAGACATTTGGGGCTAATTTTTTCACAATTTTTTTAGAACTTTGGAGGCTAAGTTTCACTAATTTCTTTAGAATTTTGGAGGCTAATTTTGTAACAAAATTCTTCAACAATAAAAATATATTCAATTTTGAAAGCATCATTTTGTGACCACACTCCCAAAATGGGGGCTAATACCTAACACATTTTCTGCTTAACAAATGGATTTGCCATTGTTAAGCAGAGGGCTAATGTAGACAGTGGATTTATATGAGTACATCAACTCGACTAATCCATCATAAATTCGAGTTAGAATGGACCGAGTCAAATCAATTATCTACTAATTATTTACAAATACACTAACAGTTCAAGACTTATAACCTTTCTAGAATAATAATATTTAAGAATATTCTAGAATGATAATTAAGAACACGTGCATTAATTAGACATGTATACAAGGGAAAATGGGAAAAGTGGAAAGAACGAGAAAACTCTAGAAAATAACCCAAAACACTATAAATAGGACCCAATATCCATATGGGGACCCATTAGTTACCCAATATCCATTACCTTTATATATACATTAAACCCATTCCTCTGGACCTTCGTAGCTAGACTATCCTTGCCCCATGGTTCTGACACTATTCAATAGTTGGCTACTCAATTTGCTATAGTCAACTACCTATCATAGCCAAGACATGGTATAACAAACCAATCGATTCCTCCCTTCATCTAGCAGTCGGTTACCAACCTATTCTAGTAAACTACTATGACAATAATTTGACCTTTAGAAGGTATGACAAGTAGTTCTATACTCGGAATTCCTTCTATCTTGTTGGGAACAAGTTGAAAACATTTTCTATTGAGGATTCAAGTTCCCAATGGCTAGAAAATAGTCACTTGCTTTCAACATCTATAAATAAGAGGTTTTGACATGAAATCTTTAAGAGCCCACATTGTATATATTATATAATTTTGAAAGCAAATTTTGTAAGTCTTATTATTTCTTGAAAAGATTTCTAAGTTTCATTAGTTCAATCTTATGAGAAAATTCGAGTGGCCATTAGGCTTATTTGTTTCCCACAAAACTATTGTGAATCTCTTCACTGAGTTGAATATGTGTTCAGACATCTCTTGCATTTGAATAGTTTGTGTTATTTTTGTATGATGTGCCTATTTGAGAGGCATTGTGATTTTTGTGCTTGATTGTAATACTATCTGAGAATAGAAGGTATTGAAGATGTGAACACAATTAAAGGTTGGGTCAACACCTATAGGTTCTACCAAGTTAGGTTGGGTAAGCAATCGTAAGTTCTACAAGGTATTGTATGTTAGACAGTGTATGCCCTTAACTCGAATTAGTATGATGTACATTATGACATTTATTGTAAATGAATAAAGTACATATTTGATTCATGTTATTATGGTGTGTTTCTGTCTAATACCCTTAAACTGGATACATATGAGACTCGTGTTAGTTTAGAATTTTCACAGCCGTTGGACAGATTTGGGGAGATTTATCCTACCAAGGCTGACACTGATGTGTTGCCAAGTTGGTTGGGGTGGCTTGTCTCAACTACTAGGGTGAGACTTGAGGTATATGCAATGTGGGTTTTCTTGAAACCCTCCGGACCAAATTCCAGCGTTGCCCTGGACTTTGGAGACAGATGGGCAAAACTGGAATGTTACACCTGACCCCTAGACTCGACTATGGTATTGCACTAGGTGTCGGATTGGGCTGTCTTTGATATACCAATCAGTGAGATCCTTAGAGGGGTTCAAAACCTAGGTATATTGGGACAATCCGAGAGTTCACCTGAGTGGGTGATCATAGTGACAGGATTAGCCCCTTTGTCGGACAAAGTGAATGATCGGAAAATGCACTCTCTCTGATGGAAACCTAAACTACCGGTAGTGGATTTCAAATCTGTTTGAAATTTGGTTTTGCAAATTATATTTATATAGAGATATACTTATATATTATGGTTTCAAATTGGTTTGCAAAATGTTTTAATTCCCGGGATCCATGTGAGTAGAGAGTGCAGCATTGTACCTTGCAGCTAAGGGAGAGGTCCTCTCTTGTTGAGCAGTGTTGGATCATTAAGGGCTAAGAGGTTAAGTGTAAGACCATTGAGGGTTATACCTGATGGGCTAATCTTGCATATGCACACAGTCCTTGGGCCTTTATAAGATAGCTGGACCCAAAGACTATTTAGTGTAAATGTTGGGCCCATTAAGAGCCCATGGTAATGGACTCAAGGGTTCATTGTATTCAGTAGTGAATTCGGCCAGGCCTTGTAACARAGGCTAGGCCGAATCCATGTGGCTGATGTATAGATCAATGATAGGGTCCCTTGCCATACAAAGAGAGCCAAGCTAGCCAGCATTAAAAGGAAGTGAGCCTGAAAGCTTAATGGGCGTAAAGCCCATTTTAAACTGGGTTAATTAGATTAATTAAATAAGGGTGAATCTGGGTATGGATC